TCCCACTTGGATTTCTTGGGTGTCTTGAGAAGAGGGCCTGAAGGAGGAGAGAGGACAGGTTAGTAACTGCAAAAGGAGGTTTTACCAGCCACCAGCATGCCCTGCAGGGCCTCCCTGCATCGAAGTCAGCAGTTGCTGTCTGGTAACCAAGAGTTTGGAAGAAGAAGTTGAAAAAAGTGGCTTGTTCTTACATCCCAAAAGGTCAGATGGCCACGGAATGAATCTGAGGGCGAGGTGTGAACCTGCCGTGCGTGAGCTCTTCCCCTCTGGCTTTCGTTTTCTCACAAATTATGAGAGCTTCCACCCCACACAAAGCTGCAGGGCTTCCCTCTTTGCTGTCCCACTCCCGCCTAGTCTGCCGGGCACACGCACATGCGATCCCCTACCCCTGGCTAAGCTCCACTATCATTTCTTGCACTTGCTAGTTCTGGGAAAGAAGCGCAGCATTCCCAATATGTCCTGGAGAAAGTGCCAGGTCAGAGCCAGGGGAAGAGGAATGGATGCAAAGATTCCAGGATCCCAGGAGTCCAGGGTCTCCCACTGAGATCTCCTGAAGCCCTGAGGGGAAGGCCTATGAGGCTTCCTGTTGTGAACTGGTTGAGGTTTGCCTGGGCTACAAGGAACAGAGGCCCAATCCATAAAAATAATAACAGTAGTACTAGTACCCTGCAGTGTATTATACCTCAGAATTTACAAAAACCTTAGAATTTCTGTCTAAGCTGACCTTTCTGGTTCTGTATCAAAGTTGCTTCAGAACATCTAAAAGCCTTGGAAGTCACCAGCCAGTGTCTGACTAATTTTTGTATCTCACAGTGCCTACGCAAGCACACTTAACAAATACTTGCTTACATTAATCCTCTCAACAATCCCCACAGGTTGGAAGAAGAGATATCACTTTTTATTTTACAGCTAAAAATCTGAGACCTGGGGAATTTGGGCCCAAAATTACAAAAGACAATAAAATACCCAGGGCTTGACACCCCAGCCTTAGGTTTTCTCATCTAAGACTCTTACTGCTACCACAGATATGGTAGAACATACAACTTTAAAGTCTTGAAGTTAAACAGCTGTAACTTAAGGGAATGCAAGCAATTTCTGTATCACAGAGATTATTAGGATTCGCCTTTAAGTGGGAGCCTCCCCCCATTCCGGGTGACCTTCTCAGCCTTATAGTAAGCATAAGGTCATCGCTTTGGACAAAGTTAGACATCAGTGGTGAGCCCAAGGCAGTTTCCTCAGACTGAGGAGTGACAGGTTTTGCCCAGCAATGTCCCCTGAGCGCTTCCTCAGCTGAACTATGGTCTTGAGAAGTTAGACCAACCTTTCCCCCAAGCTCAAGTTTAGGCCATCCCATCTCACACCCAGAAAATCACTCTTCTACAGTATCCCTTATGGAAAACTAAGAGCACAGTCTCCCTCCGTCCATTGTGGAGTGACTAGGACCCAAACTAGACCTGATGTGCCACCCAAGCCGACCACAGCTACCACCCCCTGCCCGGTTAGCTAAGACTGTGGCAGACTAAGGAAACAGCCCAGCCCCATGTGGATTACAGGAGCCCAACTGTAACTTCTGGAAGGGTGAGGAGATTCCTTTATATATATATATAAAAGGAGGGGGTGGTAATGGGAGGGAAGAGGAGGAAGAGGAAGAGGAGGAGGAGATGAAGAAGTTGGCCTTTGGCAGCGGAAAGAAGGCCCTGCCTCTCTGTGGGAGTAGGAAAGATGGGAAGTCAGCCTGTGTCTCCTTCCACAATGGTTACCAGAAGCTTAAGAGAACTTTTGAGAATCGGACCAGCAGCACCGGAGGCAGCTCTGAGTGGTTCCCTTTAGAAGTAGTGGTAACTATCTCTTGGTGCTCTTGTTATTCACAAGCCTCACACAACATTTTAACATGTTGTGGGCCTGTGTTCACACTTGACATGAGGGGGCGCAGAACAGAGGCCACCATCGTGAGAGACTAAGAGGTGAGCGGCGAGACCGCAGGGCAGCTCTCAAGCATGTGCGGCTTCCCTGGAAAACCACACTGACCTGAGGATGGAAACCCAGGAGCAGATGGACTTCCTGCACTCGTGGGGTGGACGCCCTGAGGGCTGTTGATTTGGGAATTATAGGGAAATGACACCCTGGAAAACTGGAGAAGTCTGGGTCATCTAGACTACAGGAGAAGACAGTTGATTCTTGAAATGACAGGGAGTACATTTGTCCGTGTTCAAGGCCACAGGGCTGTGATGGTCAAGTGGGAGCTAGAATGAGGCCTCCTGCTCCTGAGCTGCTCCTGAGCTCCCTCCCCAGACTCCTCCCAGCAGCTTTTAAACCTTAGACACTAATCAAGAATGAGATACGTGGGACAGACTGCACTTGTCAGAAGGCACTTAGCCCTGCTCTGCCGATTCAAGGGAATCCACAGGGAAGGTCCCTCACCTGGGAGGTCACATTTCTTCCCTTTCCTCAAAGCTGAACGCAAAGCACCACATGACTTCATAGTTCCCCAAGTTTCGCTGCTATGCGGTGTCAAAGAGATCTGAACTTCACTCAGACACCAGCATTTTGATTCTATCACCAACTAGTCATCCCAGCTAGTCATCTCGATGGTCCAGGTTTTATCTTCTATAATATTTAAAACGCAAATAAACCATATCTCTCTCCTACCCCCAAACTCTTCAGGGATGCCTATCACCCACTCAACTAAAATCCAGACAGCTCCCCAGTCATGACTAAACAGACCAGATAGGGAAACTCAATAGAGAGAGTTACCCTTTCTGAGATCTTTAATTATGCTCAGTCAGGAGGGAGCCACACAGATGGTAAAGGGTTTACACACGAATACAGCTCTGCAGCCAGAAGGCTCTTCCTTGGCTGAGGCTCAGCATTTAGTGGCCTCTCTACCTTACATCCGGGCTTCTCTTTGACCCAACTACTGCCAAGTTGTCCCCGGGCAGTATTCTTCTCTGTCTCCTTCTCTACTGGTTCCCTCTGGGTTTCTCTGAGGAGCTGACACAGTGATCACAAGGCCTGGACCTTCCCTAACCCCCAGTCCAAGGACAGAAACCGCAAGTTGTACCTGCTGCCACACAAGAGACTTCTTACCGTCTCACATGTCCCTCAGTGATGCCCACTGCAAAGCATCACCCTACAATGAAGGCAAAGTAAAGTGAAATGGGACATTGGAGCCATCCAGAGCTCAAACTCTGCCCTCAAACTTCCTGTGTGGCCATGGGGGCAAGACATGAACCCAGTTCCCTTTGGGTTCCCCATATTCTACTGCCCATAGCACTCGGCCCTAAGCTGTTCCTCCTTTTCCTCCCTCCACCTTCCCACACCTCCCCCCAAGAATTCTCCCCAGATCCATAAAGGCATTTTAACATGATACAAGAGTATGAGTAATGGAGTCAAAATGACCTAAGGTTCAGCGAAGGCTGAAACCTTAGCTGTCACTCACTGGCTCAGTGACACAGACAAGTGACTTAATCTCTAGCCTTATTTTATCATCTACAAAATACTGTTATGATGGCAACCTTGCATGGGGGTGATCAGGACTAAATGATCCAGAGTTTGCACATTAATCAGGGTTATTAACATTAGCTGTTACAATAAAAATTTCCAAATCTCAATGACTAGATATGAGCGTTCCCCTCACTCAGGTCACAGACTGATGTGATTGGACATTTTTCCTGCATAGCTCCTCTGCAACAGGTGATTCAGAACCAAAGTCCTTTTGTCCCCTGGAGTCCTTCACAGAGTGCTCTCTACCTGGCCGACAGAATTACAAGGATAGTGTTAGAGGGCAGGCCAGGAACTATTGTCTATCCACTTGGCTTTACATTTTAAAGCCCAACCATGTTCTCCACCTGGTTGCAGGGAAATGTAGAAAACAGAGTGGTCCAGGAAAAGGACCAATTAGCCACTCTTAATGTCTCAGGAGAGCAACAGAGAGTGCAAAAATCACCCTCACACTTTCAACACCTGGTTCTCTTCCTTCCAGCTGCTGAGTGCAGCAACAAGAGCTGTGCACTTGGGTGGCTCGCCTGCTCACATCACTCTGTGCTCTCTGTGTCCTGGGCCCCAACCTTCACGGACCAGCACCACCAAGTATGGCCTTTCCGTTCCCGATGCAGAGCCTCAGAAACAGATCGGGGCTCCCCTGCTCCCCTGGACACACTCTGCAGCAGGTATCACATCCCACAGTGAAACCGACACCGTTAATCTCCCAAGCTGTCCCACCCTAGGTGCACCTCCGGTGAAGTCTCAGAGGAGCCGTGTGCCTCAGAGTGGCTGATGATGAGTTACCCCATTCTCTTGCTTGGTTATAACCCAAAAGAAAACAATCGCTCTAAAGGCGAGGTTTCAGGAAAACAAAGAAAATCAAACGGGGTTGGAAACGGACATGGGCCCCCTCCAGAAATATTAGGTCAGGGAGAGGACTCTTCACGTTGGTTTTGCAGGCCCCTACACTAGGGAAACACCAAGACTCACACAGTCCTGGCAGACACCCAAGTGCCTGGGGCATCACCCTCCCCAACGCAGATCCCTGCGGCCAGGGGTCTATCGCTGACCCTACTCATTTAGCAAAATCAGCTCTGAGAGTCTCAGCCCACCTTCTACACCCAAAGCGAGGTTACCTACCCCTTGTCATCTGCACTGCAACACACACACACACACACACACACACCTACACACACACTCGTTGCCCGGGCTGGGCGGCCCATAGCGTGGGAGTCCAGGGCGCGGGAGCGAGCCGGAGCCGCACACCCGCCCGGGGACAGTCCACGTGTGCGCGCAGCGCGCACACCCTCCGCACCCGCGGGCTAAACGCCGCCAGGTCGCAGGTAGCGGCTGCCGGCCGCTCCGAGACTCCGGAGCCCAGCGGGGCGGGACCTCAAGGCCTCACCCCCTGACGTCAGCCGGGAGGGAAGCGGGCGGGGTGGGCGGGGGACCTTCCACTCTCAGCCCGGGCTCGCCGGGGCTGGAGGCGCGCGGCTCGGCTAGGGCTCGGCTTCGGCTCAGCCTCCGGAGGATGCGGCGCGCCTAGGATGCTTCTGAGCCTGGTTGTGCCGCTGACGGCGCTCCTCGGCCTGCGGCTCGGCGCCGGTGCGCACGGTAAGGATCCCCGGCCCCGGCCCTGCCCTGCCCTACCCCGTGGGCTGCGTGCGTGCGTGCGTGCGTGGCCAGACCCGTCTCTCAACCGTTGTCACCCCTACATTAAAGTTGTGTGTCCCGCTAAGAACCCAGTCTGACAACCCTCTAGAGAGGGGGGCATCCTTTATCTTCCCCTCCCTAAATCCCTCCGAATGAGGGGTCATTCTGGCAAGCCTGGCTGCTCTCATGCGCACCGGGTGTAGAAATGGAAGAATCTGAGGTTGACTGAGGGGGTGGGGGGGCATGAGGATAGAGAAGGTAAATGACCATGGCCCCCCATCATCACCGCAGGTGCCACCACCATCACCAACTCACTGTCCACCCGTCTCCGGGCAAATTGAAAATTTAGTCCTGGCTACTTGTTGTTCTTGTTCAAATGAGGGGAGGGCCCCTCCCTCTGGGGAATGACTTTGGGCCCCATTTGACTCTGCCTCCTGTCTCCCCCCCCCCCTTCACGCCCCATTGCTGCTCTTCTCCCTACTCTCTCCCATCACCCCCATCCGATCATTCCTGCTACTTCTTCAGCCCCCAAAGCACCCCTCCGCCTGTGCCACCCCCTCAGTATTCCCACCCCTCACCCAGCAGTCCTGGAAAGTTTCAGCATCTAAGTGTAAACCCCAGAGAAAAGGAAAGGATCCACCGAGAGGGAGGGGACCACCAGCAGAGGCAGCCAGGGAGGGCTGAAACCACTTCGAGGTGACACCAGAATACAAAGCAAAACTCACAGTCAGCCACTCACATGACCGGAATGTACAGCCCAACACCACAATGACAGGCTGCATTTTTCACTTTCCACGCAATGTTTTGAAATCGAGACACACACTTGAGAATCAGCGACAGTATAAGAAAAAAGTAAGAGACAGAGACAGCTATACTTTCAAGTAAGAATGACAGGGGTCGGGGGAGAGAGATGAGGGGAAGGCTGAGAGAGTTGCTGTCTGAAGAAGAGACAGGCATTATGGGGTTAGGGAGGAAAGAAGAACTGACTGTGGGAAACAGCCATTTCTCAAGATCAGGAGACTTCAAATAGGTGCATTTGCCTTGTTCTTGCACAAGGAGGAATAGCTCAGCGAAGTTTAATGACCTGTCCGTGCTGCCCTGGGAAGTGTGAGTGTGAGGGTCCTGAAGTTGCCACTTCCCTTAGTGAATGGTGGGAGGCTGGAGAAGAGGGCGCTGGAGATGGGCCAGGCATTGGTATTTAGTAGCTCCCCTTGGACCCAAAGGTGCTGGCTCTTTGTGGAAAGGTGGTCAGCATAGCCTAGAACCAGAGCTGCTTCTGCACCCAATCTGAGGCTGCTTCATTCTGTCTGCCCGCACCCAGTTGGAAGCTGCTTCATTCTGTCTGTCTGCACCCAATCTGAAGCTGCTTCATTCTGTCTGCCCGCACCCAGTCTGAAGCTGCTCACTGGTTAAAGCCCTTCTAGAAACTGGGAGATGGGGCAAGCACCCCACCTGGGGTTGCACAGGGGACCTGTGCAAACAAGCAGATGCTAAAATGCAGAACATCTGTGTACCCAGAGGACAGCAAAGCAGGGCCTTGGGCTGGAGCCCTAGACTGGCGCCAGGGTGGACACCATGTGCAGGGATGGAGTCTGAGGCGGGGACAGTGACTGGGCACTGTAGTCCCCTCTCCCATCCCATTTTCTCACCAGAGGTTCACCAGACCCAAACTCTTTTCAGTTACCACTTCTGCTTCTGCCCCAGGTAGTAGAAGACAGTGATTTCAGTCGCAACACTAACTCTGGAGTCAGGCAGGTGGGGCCTGGGTCCAAGACCCACCCTGCCCCTTACAAACACCCTTGCCAAGTCACTTAACCTTTCTAAACCTCCACTTATTCGCTGGGGAAAATTGGGACAATAAATACCGCCTGTAGGATGGTGTGACAACTAAGTAACATATATAAAGTACTTAGCAGAGCACTGGGCTTGCAGCAAAATACTCAATAATTGGGGCTTTACATGTGTGTTGCCATCACAGCCATCGTCTTCACCCCTGGGGAATGGAATTTGCTAGGTCTGCTACTGACACTCTTCTCCCCTGGGACAGACCTGCCTAGCCCTCCATCTGTGTGGTTTGAAGCAGAATTTTTCCACCATGTCCTCCACTGGACTCCCATCCCAAACTCATCTGAAAGCACCTACTATGAAGTGGAGCTCCTGAGGTAAGGGAAGGGGAGGATGGGGAAAGGAAGGAGGTGCGTGAGGGGTGGAGGTGGTCACCCCCTTCTCCTCCCCGGCCATGGGAAGGTGATGTCTGCCCTGTTATTGAAAGGACACAAGCAGGACCCGGGCACACACCCATCAGCTGACAATCACTCATGAGTCTCACGTGCTGAGCACTGTGCTGGGGCCTCTGGGGTGGGAAAGCCAGAGTATTACCTTCACCCTCAAGGCTTATCCACCTATCAAAAAACCAAGAAAAGCATCAAGGAAACCCTAAACACTGCAGGTGCAAGTGGCAGAGGGAAGGAGTTATGCCATGTTCCGGGCACAGCACGTTTTCTTGAAGAGCTAGGATGGGAGCTACTCAAATTCCAATCTAAGTGTCTTCCAGACCATGGGAAAGGGGCACAGGGCCCCCGAGCCAAGGGGGCCTCCTGCAATTAGATGTCTTGGACGAGAAGAAGCACGCCTGGGGTTGTACTGTCACTGGCATTGCCCTGGTCTCTCCCAGGTATGGAACAGGCCCATGGCAGACCATCCACAACTGCAGCCAGCCCGGGATGCTGTCCTGTGATCTCACCATGGTGACCCTGGACCTGTACCACAGCAATGGGTACAAAGCCAAAGTCCGGGCAGTGGATGGAGGCCAGCACTCCAACTGGACCATCACCAACACTCGCTTCTCTAAGGATGAAGGTGCTTTTCTCCCTCTGAGCTTAGGATGTGACTTTTGGAGTTCTCTCCAGTCAGAAGCTCTAGTCTAGAACTTTTCTCTCTCTTTCCACAGCTGGCCATGTCAGCTGGCTTCCCGGTCAGTGACCTAGTTGCCCAGAGTCAGGACACTGAAGAAAGTTTATATGAAACTAGCCAAGTCGTTCAAGATTTAAAAGGGAACTAGAGTTGTTTATCGAACAACAGAGAAGTCTTGAGGGTGGGATGCAGCAGCTGAGTCATGAGGCTTGTGTATTTGGAGGGATCTAAGAGAGGAAGCGAATCTGTAAGCACTCAGCACAGGGCAGCAAGCAGCAGGCAGATTTTGGATCACATCCTCCCCATATGGGACGCTCTCATTCCCTCATTCCACAGAATGGGCCTGACCAGGTTTCCGGGGAGGGGGGGGGCAGAGGGGTGAGGAGGCAGTGACTTAGGGAAAGCAACCTCAACTGCAGAATCCAGAGTGAGAACCGATGGTCTAGGAGGTCGCTGCTCCCCAAATGTCTGCCTAAGGGCCCTTGTTCAGCTGGCTGCAGAAACGTCACGTGGCTGTGTCTTTAGGGCAGATGTTTCTAGGACGTGGCTTCAAATTTCAGATTCACTGGGTTTTGAGTGGGTCCGGGGTACCTGTATTTATAATGCTCCCAGGAAGTCTGTGTGCTGTGCTGGGTTGGGAGGCTGTGTCCCAGGCTTTGGGGGAGTAGGGAAAGCTTAACCCTGGAAATCAGCCATAGGAGGGGTACCCAGGACTTCTCCAGCCTCATGGTTTTGCCTCCCCCACTCAGTGACTCTGACAGTTGGCAGTGTGAAGCTGAAGAGGCACAATGGCTCCATCTTCGGGACAATCCACCCCCCCAGGCCCAAGATCGCCCCTGCGGGTGACACATACGAAAGCATCTTCCCGTACTTCCGCGAGTACGAGATTGAGGTGCGCAAGGCCCCAGGAGACTATAAGGTAAGGGGGTGTTAGGCCTGGGCTGGAGCTCCGTTTAAGCATCCTCTGGGGAGCTTTGCGAGCAGGATAGAGGGGTGTGGTGGGGATGAGGGGGCAGGATGCGCTGTCCTTAAACCTGCACTCCCACCAGATGCTTCATGAGACATTTTATAGCTGTTGCTACTGATCCCCTTGCAGGTGAATATTTTATTCCATTTTACAGAGGGGGAAATGAGGCTCCAGAGGGTTATGTAGTCTCCCAAGGAAACCTCCCACCCCATAAGTGGGAGAGCTGCAGCATCCTCCTTTCCCCTCTCCACCAGTTAGTCCCAGCTCCTTCGGGGAGGTCCTCCACTTCTACAAACACTTTTTCTCTTTTAATACAAAATAAACCATGGCAGCAACTCAGATCTTGGACTACATTGATGATACAGGGCTTGTTATCTTAGAAAAAGGAGCCTGAAGGTGGCTGACTGAGTCATCTCTAAGAGCCCCACCAGCTCTCAGTACCGTGTGCCGTGAAACAAGACTGTTGTTTACTGTGGCTGCTTTCGTTTCAGTTCCCACACAAGAAGGTACAACAGGAAAACTTCATCATCCCAATTGCTGGAGAGATTGGAAAGTTCTGTGTCAAGGTGAAACCATCTGTCGGCTCCCTAACAAACAAAGGGGCGTGGTCCATGGAGGAGTGCATCGTCCTCACCCTGCAGTGTGAGTTCAGCAGGGCTGCTGGCCGGGCAGGGATGGAAGCCAGAAGGACATTCCAAAAAGAAGCCCCCTCCAAGGGCCCCCAGTGCCAGGCATCATGCCAGTATCCCCACATAGCTCTGCGTCCTCTCGCCACCCTGCACGCTCGCTCTGATCCCGTTTTAGAGATGAGACTTGGTGCGTGTGAGCACCAAGAGACACGGTGGCAGAGCCAGGCCTCCCGACTCTGTGGTGCTGCCTGGGGCACACACCCGCTCCCCAGGAGCCCTGCTGTGTCCTGCCAGTGTGGCACTCCTGTCTGTTATACTCCTCTGCTGTCGTTTCTTAGAGCTGGGGGGTACTAAGGGCCTTGTCCCTACCTTTGCTCCCCTTCAAGGGTGACATCTGCAAATACTGTGCCAGGCTCTCAGCTAGGTGCCAGGAAAGGAGGGGGCAGGGGCGATATAGGATGTAAAGGCCACGGTCCTGCTGGAAAGGATCTCACAGTCTGGCTGGGAAGATGGGGCGCTCCGTGAAAACGGTCACAGGCAGCTCTGTGAGGATGCATATAGCAAGTGCTGGTGAATCACGTCAAAGGTCAGTGTCCAGGGCTGCCCAGGGCTGTGTGGACAGGGTCTGGCAGAGACCAACGGGCCTTCTTACATTCCTACAGTGCATTTCCAGACGAGATGCCATCAGTGTCTGGCCACTTAAAGAGCTACTAGTACATTCACCTCTGATATGACGACTACTTGTGGGTGCAGGCCTGGGCTCAAATCTCAGCTTTACCACTTATGGGCTATGTCACCTTGGGCAAGTGATCTGACCGGTCTGGGCCTCAGAATCCTAATATATAAATTTAGAGATGATATTATTTACCCTACAGTCATTAGAAGACTCAAATAACTAAGTACTTGATAAGTTATAAGCACTGTACACTTCACAACGGCTGATGTCATAGGTGCTATGATTTTTCCCATTTTACAAATGAGGAGACAGTCTGAGAGGCTGAGGAATTTGTCCACAGTCTCACAGCTAGTAAGTGGGGGAACTGGGACTCGCACACTGGTCGCACTGCTCCTAAAGCCTTTATTCTTACCTGCTGGCCACCTGCCTCTCACTCCACTGAGTCCTGGGCAGAAGACTGGAAGCAGCGTCGAGGCGTGCAGGGAGGGACCCCCGGGCAGAGCCAGGAGGCACCCAGATGTGACTAGACAGGTGGCCTCGCTGGCCTGGGACACTCCCTCGGCCCCCGCCGAGCGGTCCCTGAGACTGGGCATCTCTCATCCTGTAGACTTCACCGCGACCAACCTCAGCATCTTCTTCGTCTTCGTGCTGCTGCTCTGTGGGGCGCTGTCCTACTGCCTGGCCCTGCAGCTCTATGTGCGGCGCCCCGGGAAGATGCCCACCGTCCTGGTAAGTCTTTCAGGGAGGCCACACCCCGACTGGGGGACAGGGAGCGCCTCAGTCGGCCCCCCCACCCCGCACTACCCCGCGCGCGTCAGCCCAAGCAGACCCGGTGTCTGGTATTTTCACCGCGAGTTTCTTCGCAGCAGTTTCGTCAATTTTTGCCTATAAGTATTTGACCACGAAACGGTTTTCCCATAAAAGAGAAATGAACTAACTGGTTGACAGTGGGTTTCATTTCTCCATTGATGGAATAAGAAACCAACTCTTTGCAAACAGACATACTATCATTTTCTAATACAGTAATATGTGATCTGAAATTACTTTCTGAAGTTATATTTCTAGTAAACTTGATCACCAAAGAAGATCCCTCCACCCCCAAATAAAAGTGTATAATACTATGAACGGATGGAAGACTTGGCAGACAGGGTTAGGTGTCATATACAGAAGAAAATCAGTTCTTGGGACTGTATCACCATGAATCTGTCTCTTGTAAATATATTCATATATTTTGTGGGGTTTTTGTTTTTTTTTTTGCAGTAGAGCTGTATTTAAATATTTTGTATTTTGTCTTCTTAGTCTTAGAATTCATTTTTCATATTTCCTGATGACTTTTAAAATATCCCTCTTTTCCTAGTCACTGTTTTCTATGGGCAAAATGCCTTCAGGCTAATTAGTTCTATGACGAAAATGCTTATGGTGAAACCGTTAATGATGAAATTACCCAGAATGGGGTAGAGGGAGGACCTGAACGCCAAGCCGAGGGCTGGATTGCCTTCCTGTTTGACGTCCAGTCCCAGCAGGTGTTACTCTTTACTAATAAGTACCCACGGACCAGCCCCGTGTGTTAGTACATCTAGAGCAGGTACAATTCCCATCCTCGTTTTACATGTGAAGAAACAGAGTCGCTCAACTGCATCAGAGTGGAGAGGGGATGCTGGGAGCACACGGCCTGGTGGAGCAGCCTGCCAGAGTGTCTCCTCATGCCAGGTAGTGTAGATGAATGCTGCGTCTGCAGTCAGCCAGCCCTGAAACCTCACTAGCAGCCTAGTGCAGTATCATCAGACCTCAGCCTCTGGCCCAGGATTCAGACTGCATCAAAGGTTGTCTCCTGTACCATCATTGCAAGGGCAGAGCGCTGGGCCGGGAGACAGGGCCCCTAGGGAAGCACTCAGCTGGGAGGAGACCTGCCAGAGGGATCCCAGAATCTCTCGGGAAAAATAAGGAGAAAGATGCAGACTCTCTAAAATTATTTTGAGTGAGAACTCAAGAAAGTGGAGGGTGGGCCACCAGGAGAGAAGGGCCTAGGTGGCCTGATCTAAGACTTTGTCTGGGAAAAAGAGAAAAAAGCCAGTGATTATAAAGTTCTTCCTTTATCTAGCTGAAGTATGTAACTCGTTGTCCTTTCTCCATCTAGAAGATGTTTAGCATTTTCTAGGATAGCAGTGTGTTGGAGATGAACACACACAGGGCCTGCCCTCAGGAATAGATGATTAGAACACAGAAGGGTGGGGAGGGGATGGGTGGAGCTGGCATACTGGATGGGAGATGGTAGTTTTCTAGACTAGGGAAGGCATCTAGGAAAAAGTAAACGAGGTGGCAGTTACACCAGCGACCAAGCACCTACAACATGCAGAGCATGGTACAGGAAGAAGCTGACTGATGTAGCCCCTGTCCCCAGGGGGTTGCTTGTGGGCCTGGCAGGGCAGCCTAGGTTGAAACTTCACTTTAATACCAACCAGTGCAATAGACGTAGGTGCATCAATGCCAAGAATTGACAGAAGTTCCTGGTGTTTGTTCTTTCTGTCATTTGGACCACAGATTTGAGTTATTCTTGAGGGTACTTTCTTCCCTAGATAAGTACCACCCATTCCTTCCCCATTCCAGCTAAAGGTCATGGTTATTATTGACCCTATGAATAACTAACAGTGCACAGAGCACTCACCCACTCATGGGCTGTTGTCATTTATTAACTCACTCTTTTATCTGATATTTCAACAATATATCAAAATAAGTACTACTGGGTAAGTGGGGGCTTCAAATCAGGACAGTTGAGTACAACACCCCGGGTTGTTCTTTGCTGCTTTGTAACTTTGGGTTCCATCTTTCTTCAGTAGGGACAGAAATAATATTTTCTTGGAGGATTACTGGAGAGAAAATTTGAGTACCTTCTATATGTCAGGCACTGTTCTAAGCACACAACATACTCAAAACATGAGGAATCAAGTACTATCATTATTTCCATTTTATAGGTGAGACGCTAAAATACAGAGAAATAGTTTAGTCAAGGTGATATACTGATAAGTTGCAGAGATGGGATTTGAACCAGGCGGTCTAGCTCTCTATTATACCTTACATTTCCAACTCATGATGGAGAGTTTGACCAATAAGAACTGCCTTAGGGTCATCTTGTACTTTGGGAATGAGGGTCCATGTGCAACAGTGTGTATACAGGTCAGTTAGTCAACAAGTCACACCACTGGCTACTCTGTGCCAGCTCAGTTTAAGTTCTGAGAACTGAATAACAAACAAGATTGGACAGCTTCTGCCCTCCAGGACCTCATAATCTGTTGGCGATGGGAAGTGAGTATATGTGCATGTGTGCATTGAGAGGGTGGGAGGCAGTAAACACATTAAAAAAATAATTGAAAAGTGCTAGAAAGAAGTAAACTAGGAGAGGAAACTGCTTTTGCCAGTATGGTTGGGAAGGCCTCTCTGAGGAGATAACCTCTGAGCTGAGACCCAACCAAGAGGATACAGCCATTCAAAGCACTGAGAGAAGACTAATCCAGTCAGATGGAGTCACACCTCCCAAGGCCGAGACTATACTGTGCTGACATGTTCCAGAGCAGAAAGATCCCCAGCATGGCTGGAAGAGATTAACCGATAGCTGGTCCCCCTCAGCTACTAAGTCTGTCTGTTCCACCACCCACACAGTACGGTCACGCTGTGGATGTGAGTCACAGCTCAGCAGAGAAATTAACTTGGTGTCTTATGTCCAGCTCTGTTTAAAAATGAAATAGATCATATGGGCTGAGATACACCAGATGAATCGGTCATGGCACACAAATAGTAATGCTGTGTGTTGTTTTGTGAAACTGAATTATATGTTACACAGTTTAACACATTTCTTATCTGGGGTCATAATCAAAAAAGTTTGAAACATACTTGTAGATCTACATGGATTCAGCCTGCTCTCAGGTTTGAACAGCCCCAGGATGGAGCCACTTGAGATGGTTCTTCACTCTGCCTGTGAGCCATCTGCTCTGGGAGTATTGGTTTCTTATGCATTGGCCTGAGCCCAACTGAGAATCGCATCAGGCAGAAACCTCTCTTCTATTCTGAAAAGAAACAAAAAGAACGTTACAGAGCAACGCAGACTCCAGAGTTCCCTCTGTTTACCTCCCTGATCTCCCTGCCTGGACCCGTGGCCTCACCTGGCGACACGCAGGTGGGTTCCTGCAGGAGAGCCTCCCGCCTGTCTCACTCTGTGCTCTTCTCCCTAGGTCTTCAATAAGCCCAGTCCCTTCATCGCGATCAGCCAACTTCCTTGGCCAGAGACCCACGTCACCATCCACCCCCTGGACGAGGAGGCCTTCCCCAAGGTGTCCCCAGAGCTGAGGAACTCGGAACTTCATGGCAGCACAGACAGCGGCTTTGACAGTGCTAAGCCATCCCTGCAGACCGAAGAACCCCACTTCCTCCTTTCTGCCTCTGACCCCCAGGCCAAGGAGATGACGAGAAAGGGGGCACCCCTGGAGCTGGAGAGCAGCTGCAGCAGCGGCAGCAGCACCAGCACAGACAGTGGGATCTGCTTGCAGGAGCACAGCCTATGTCCCAGCATGGCACCCCACTGGGAGCCACAGCCGGGGAGCAACAGCCCAGGTGAGGACGACAGTGGTATTAGCCTAGTCCAGAAATCTGAGGGGCAGCCTGGGGATACACTGAGTAGCTCCGTCTTGGCCCATGTTGGGCCCCCAATGCCTGAGGTTCCTGGGGAAGAAGACTCGTCCACACTGGCATTCCAGGGCTACCTGAAACAGTCCAGATACACAGAGGAGAAGGAAGCCAAGGCAGACTGCCTGGAGGAAGAATCCTCCCCAACAGATAGCCTTGACCCCAAATTCTGGACATGCCTGGATGCAGAGACGGGCTGGTCTCCACCAGCCATGGCCAACGGCTATTTGAAACAGGGTACCCCAGGAATGACTCTCGCGCCTTCAGGGGCCCCAACTGAACAGTGGAGCCACCCAAGTGAGGAATGGTCACTTCTGGGCTTAACCAGCTGTGGTGACCTAGGAACTTCTGACTGGAGGTTTGATCATGTTCTTGCCCCTCTGGGCTGTGTGGTAGCCCCAGGTGGACTCCTGGGTAGCTTTGACTCAGACCTGGTCACCCAGCCACTGATCTCCAGCCTGCATTCAAACAAGTGACTCAGGCTTAGGGGCTGCTTTGATTTCAGCTATGCCCCACCTGCATCAGGAGGACATCTCAGAGGTGAAAGGTAAAACATGAGGTCAGTCTGGGCACTTAGCATTGTGAGCCCCTGAAGGCAGCCAGGTTCAGGAGCCTGGCCGTGGTCCCCATGGCAGGAGGAAGCTGTTTGGCTAAATCGGCTCAGGGAGTGTGTACACCAGCCTTGCCTGGTGAGCATAGTGCCCTGCAGGCCTGGGAAGAGAAGGGCAAGGGGGACTCCCTCCTCCTCGAGACTCTTCCTGTGTCAGAGCGGATTCTTTGCTGAGGGGAGTCATGGAGTTTGAATTGTGCTGAGGCTTCCAGGCTGAAGCCAGCACAGACATAGGCCTCCCTGCGTTCAGTCATGTGGCAGGTCCCGCAAGAGGATGGAGACTGGGAGGATGAAGGCTTCCGGGCTTCGCTGCAGGAGTCATTTTTAGGGGGAAAAGGGAAACAGCAGAGCCCAAATCTGACATGGGCTTGTCCCATTCCAGAAGCTCCCCACTGTCAGGCCTCCAAGGTTGTATCTGCCCTGGCCAGTCAGTCAGTCAACTGACCATTATTGCGGAACATCAGGAAGAAGGGAGCTGACACCGAGAAGGGGCTCTGGCTCAGAACCTGTTCTCTGGGGACGTCTCATGCCCACTGCAGGCAGCTCACTACTCCTAGCAAGTGGCTCTGAGGCATTTGAAGTGGCTGGGCCATTCACCATCCCCACCCAGCTGCCCCCATCATCTTGCTGACGGTTCCACAAAAACCGTGGTGGTTTGTATTGGTCTAATCGCAGTCTTTAGGTGGCCTCTGGGTTCAGATGCCAGATGCCCTAGTCAGCCTCAAGCATCATGTTGGGACCTGACCTCATGTTGCTGCTAATGTCCAGCTCCAGATCCACAGGCTAGGAACCTGGGCTGGGATCCCTGCTGTCAGTGTTCAGCTGTGTGACCTTGGCTTAGCCACTTTCCAGAGGGCCTTGGCTACCCAGGCTGTGAAAGAAGGACTCAATCTCTAATCCTCTGTGCTGGATGTTAACCTGGTTGGTCTCTGGGGTGACATTTCCAGCCCTGTCTGACCCTGGGCTGGGAGGAGGTGGGCTGTCTACACAGCCAGCTTGGCTCACGCACTGAGTGCTCCCAGATCCAGCAGAAGTCGTGGTTTCTTACCTAGAGAGCAGCCAGACTCTGGGGGCCAGATAGGGCAGATGGGAATCTGCTGCCCCAAAGCCGGCTTATAGCCTTTAAGCAAGAGGCTGGTAGTGGTGACAAGCCTGGGCTATGCCCCTGAGCCATCACTGGCCTTTCTGTGGTGCATTCTGGAAATAGACATTCCAGCCCAGGGAATCAGCCAGGACCTGCCTACTCTTTCCAGAGAGTTCTTGGATCCCAGTGTGATAACTCATTCTGGAAACAGGCTCGAGGGAGGATTCCTCAGGGTACCCTTGAAATGCTTGTTATTTATTTTAATCATTTATTTATTGAAAGAGCAGCAGAGTACAGTGAAAGTGCTCTGGGCATGTGAAGAGCCTGGGAGTTCTAGTTCTGACTCCACTTTTCTGGTATTTGTGGCCATGGGAAAATCCTGTAAAACTAGAAAAACAATTCCTGACTTATTTCATTCATTGGGCTGTGCAGCTCCACTGAGCTGGAGGATAAGACTGTGCCTTGAACACAAAACTCTGTGAGTGATGCGTTTTCTGAATTTCAATAAATTATCAGGACCACACGCATTCTTGTAACCACTCTGAGTTCAGATGACATGTTGGCTGGTGGGCGCCTCGAGTTGTTGATGATTGAGGATAAAGAACAAAATGTGATGTCACTCATTTTGAGGTAACAACAATGAGGATTCAAGCTGGTACAAGTCTCAGGCTAACATAACTTTGTGACCTCGGGCAAACGACCTTTCTTCTGTGAGTTCCAGTTTCCTCCCCCCATCCCATACAACGGGAACAATCACTCCCCCTGAGGTTTTAAACGGGTTCATACATCCAGAGTTTAACGAATTGTTGCTGGCTTTTAAAATCGCAAAGGCAGACAGTTTTTCTTGCAGATGGGAAGAATAAAAGAGATCATGAAAGTGTCTGAAATGAAAGGGCAGATAATGACTAATAAAATATAAAGATGTGGCTAGAGAGCACAAAACATAATGAAAAGGATAATGAAACTGTATGTAGAAGGTTCTTGCAGAAGTTTGAAAAGAAAGCTTAGGTTGGAGAGTAGAACGCACCATGTCCTGGATGACAACCCTGACATACACCGCCCACACTCCCTCCCCCAAGACAGCAAACCAGACCTCCCTGGAGCACATCTGCCTGCTCTCCTCCACCTGGAGGTGTGTCGCAGGGGTACATCTAATCAGGCAGAAGCCTGCAGCATTCTACTGTAAAAGCAGCTGCTCCCTTCCAAGAAAAGCCACATGTGGATTTGAACCTCTCCCCAAACTCAGCCCAGGGCCTGAGTCTCGGGGCACTTTGCCAGGAGATGACCAAGGATGCCTGGTTACCCCTTTAACATCACCTGTGCCTCTCAGAATGGTTTTCACCTTGAGAAATTACCCGCTTCTGGGGAAGTGCTGATCCCATCTTCTTCAGAGAACTTGACTAATATCATACCCTCAGCCTTTTGTTCCAGAGGCTTCCTGGTCAAATTGCTGAGGTGTGGGTTGGTCACCTCCTCCTGGAAATGAGTGCTGGAGACGACTTCTGTCCCAAGGAGAAGGTCCCCGAGACTGCTTAAGAAAGACTTGCCAGAGGGGAAATATACTGACTCAGAAAACGAGGGGAACCTCACCCATGCTCATGATCAGGGCCAGATTGGTTGGAAAAGCCAAAAATCGAAGCAGCTCATAGGAGAGAATGGAGTCCCAGGACATGGGGCTTTCTAGAAGGACAATGAGGGGAGCCTGTGCCCATCTCAGCTTCCAGCTGCCCTGTACAGCACAGGACAGCAAGCATGGGCTGGGCTGAGAGAGGATTGAGAGTTTTTTCAAATAGCCAGGGAGTGACAGTCCTTCCAGCCTTCTTAGGAATTTGGGTTAAAGTCCCCCACAGAAAGCCCAGACTGTTACACTGAGTAAGCTCCTTTAAAGGGCTTTTCCAGGCTGAGGAATGTGTGAATCTGCGTCTCTGTGAGCTAACGGAACTTCCTCTTAGTAAGGAGAGAGGGGAAATGGGCCAGTTTTGACCTAAGAGGAAATTCTAATGAACTGTGTTTTCCCAGCTTTGTAAAGAGCAGTGGTGGAAGAGCCTGCCTTGTCTGTCCCAAGGGATCTCTGCCTTACAGGGCCCCACCACGGGACACACCTACACAGAGTCCCCACTGCTCCTGGAAAGGTCGGGTCCCACCGGGAGAGCCCACACAGACCTGCTGAGCGGATTCTCTGACCCTCACACGTGAATGTCAGAGAAAGGGGAGTGGTCAGCTGTGCCCACTGTGACAGCACACTGGTGACCAAATGGGGGAGGTTCAGTTTGGGTTGATTTTTATCGAGACCCAACCAAAGGACACCACGTAGTGGGAGGCATGACTCACCCATTTCCTGTAGTGCTCATGGTTTGGGGGTTTCTTTTAAAGAAAATCCAAAATTTAAAATTTGATGTGTGTTTATTAATAACGCAAAGCCCCTTTCCTCGCTGCCACTTGAACACCTTCATCTAGCTCTCACAAACATTCAAAAAGGGTGGTGGGACCCATCCACACTGACAAGCAAGGGCTAGGCAGGATGACATCAGAGTTTAAAAACATCACCCTGGTCAAAGCAAAGCGCATGAGTCAGAGGGAACAAGGCAGGATGTCCGGGCACCTACTGCAGGCACTTGGCGTAGTCAACAGTTCACTTCAAGAAATTTATTATTAAGAAGCTACCATCTGCCAGACGTGCTGCTCAGCTCTGGGTCTAGACTGGTAACTAACAGGGGCCTGGCTTCTTGGAGGGTGCCGCTGTTTATGAAAATAAACATCAAGCGGATAAAAAGATGAACAAATATACTACAATCAGTGTTAAGTGAATGAAACTAATACCCCACGCAAGGCTGGGGGTGGGAGGGGAACTACATAGCAGGCAGCTCAGCAGCTCAGGTTGCCCTAACAAATCACCTAAAAGGCAGGGGGAGGGCTTAAACAACAGACATTTTTTTCTGACTGGAAGCCCAAGGTCAAGGTGTCATGCGATTCAGTTCTTGATGAGGACTTGCCCTGCCTTGCAGGTGACCTGCTTCTTCCTGGTACTCACACTCCCATCTGCCTTCCCTGCTTTCTCAAAGTGTCACCTGGGTACCTCCCATCATCCTCCATCCTGAGTCAAGGCCATCTTTTACCCAGATGTTCAAGACAAGACCTGGGGTCAGGCCGTCATATCACACCTGACACAAACAGGCCCCGCCCTCCGACTACATGGCGACTATGGCCATGTAACTACGCGTCGCTGGCAGCACACACCGTCCTGGTCAGCTCCATGAGCGCCTCTCCTGGACCGCTGTTCTCCCCTCACTGTCCTTGGTCCTGCCCCTGTGCTCTTAACCAGCATGATTCACACAGTGCTGTCTAGTACTGTCGCCAACATGACCTTTACAGAATACCACTGGAATCACGCTATCCCCTTGCTGAAATCCTCTCCTCTGGTCCTAACAAGAAATAAGATCCAAAGGTGTTGGTACCTGCTGCCTCTTCTCCAGACCCCTACACGCTCCCCCTCGCCTGCTCTAAGGTCATTTCCACCTGATGGTTTGTTCTAGTTCTCCCCAGGTCTTCTCTGTAATTCCTCCCTCGTTTTAGTCAAGTGTCTTTCAGGTGGAACCTCCTTGGAAGGTCTTTGCTGGCCACCTTACCAAGTGTCACCCTCTCTCTACCCCGCCCCTCTCTATCCCACTCTTGTTCCCCTCAGAACACTGATCTACACCTAAAATTCTGTGATCCACTTGTGTTTATTTGCTCACAGTGTGTCTCTATAAAATAGAAGACTTATGAAGGCAGGAACTTTCCTCTCTTTTCTTCATGCCTGTATTCATCTAACCTAGAAAATATAATCCACATTCCTTTGATATTTGTTGAAAGAATGCACAAGCCAAGAAAATAAATGGATCCAGCCGAACTGGCAACACGGTATAATAAATGCTGACTTAGCCTAAATTGCCCCCCACCCCCAGGAGCAAAATGTGATTCAGGGACCTGTGAGCAGATCGTTTGGAAGTTTCATGGGGAACAAGAATGGCAGAAGGAAAGAAGGAAAAGCCAAGACACAGATCTGCTATTGAGCCGGCCACGTTGATGAGCTGGGCATTGTGGAGGGTACAGAATCCTCTTCCAGGAGAAGCCTTGCTCCACCATTTCCTGAAGCCCACTGATTAGGGCTTTCCCCAGAGGTGCTGACTCCTCTGCATTCTTCAGCTGCTTGTGCACAGGGTGCAGAACTCCTCTGGAGCAGGAGGAGAGGGGGCAGAAGCCAGGGAGCTGTGGTGGGAGCCGTGGGGGCAAGACACTCCTGCTGTGGGGCTGCCGGGAGACATGCGTGGGGACCTGCGGGGGCAGGGAAGGGACATCTGGTCCAGCTAGGGTGTTCTCTGCACACCTGTTGTCAACTGAAAGAATGAGATGTGTGATTCGTTCAGTTAGGCTGACTGAGATTGGAAGATTCTTTCCACAACTGAAGGATTGCAAGATCGGAGACCACAATTCAAACCTGGAGCAAAGAGACAGTGTGAGTGACAGAACAAGTACTGACCGCTTGCTATGGCGGAGGGAAGCAGGACACTCACCGAAAGGGAGCGGTGGTCTGCCATTCAGACAGAGGGACTCCCAAGGTTGCTGGTCTGGACATGTCCAGGGGCAACACGAAGAGGGGACGCCTGCAGAGAATGGCCAGTTGGGCTGGACCCCAGGGTCACTGGCTTCCAGGCTCATCCAACCTGCCAATATCTGATCTTTCCCACAAATCTTGTCTGGGCATCAGTTCTTTTGTCCAGGGGAGACAGTGATCTTTAGCCTGATGTTCCCACTAAGCTCCTGGCATCCTGATGCCATGGAGGAGTTCAGCACTCATCTCACTATGAGCCTCCTGGAGAACAGAACCTCCTTTTGCTTTTAACTCAGGGTCCTTTACCCCCAACCGATACCTAACACTAGTATAGTGCTCAATACAGTTCTGATGCATAAATGACTGCGTGAACAAAATAATTTCCTCACAAGAATAGCATGTGAAAGGAGTCGGAGCAGTGTGATACCCAAACCTGAGTTGGCACAGGACAGGGTGGCGCCCTGAGGCTGAATGGATACTTGGGAAGAGCCGAAAGGAAAGCAGGCTGGACATTACCTTATTGTTTAATTTTATTTCAGGCTTGCGATTTTAGCTTAGTCAGATTACCTACACTATGATGATGCCCTCTCCTGCAATTTTCACCCTCTCCGCCCTCCCCCTACCCCCAGATTATGTAGGGACTCAGGACTGCAGACCAAACAGGAAGCCTACAGTAAGGGGAAGTGGTCAGGAGGGCAGGCCATGAAAATACCCAACGCATCGTCACTCCCTCCTTCAGCAAATTTTAAGTGAGCACCTGCCTTGCGCAGGGCCTCTGCGAATCCAGCAGGCAACATGACTCGATCCCTCTCCTTCTTGACTATTCCTCAAGGCATGCACCCCACACATAAACACACACACACACACACACACAGGGGTGGAGGGAGAGACAGCGTTTCCTTCACTGACTACCTCCCCCAACACCT